AACGTGTGCTTAATATGGTATCAAAACATTCTCTAAGAAAAATGAAACCAAAATTTATATTAATAGAGGTTCTGTCTATATATAGATTACCCTTCCCTACTCTATCTGAACATCCAAATTGCAAAGCAAAACATGATTAATATGCACTCTCTTTTGCTCCATATATTCTTCTTGCTTTCACAGCTGTCAAACGCCACTGCCGCCCCCTCCAATATACCAGCTGACTGCCCAAGCAGATGTGGAAACGTAGAAATTCCATACCCGTTTGGTATCGGGCCAAATTGTTCTTTTGATCCATTCTTTGAAATCATGTGCCTTACTTCCAGCTCCAACCCTCCAAAACCCTACCTTGGTCCTTATGTGGCAATGGCCTTTGAGGTCGTTAATATCACAGAAAACCAAATCTATGTTAAGAACTCGATGCTACAACAGGCAATGGCCTGCTATGGCATGGGAAAGGACAAGACCGATATAAATATAGATTTGTCATATTCTCCTTACACCTTTTCAGACTCAAATCAGATCACAGTCGTTGGTTGTGCTGACTTGGCTTTGGTAGGATCAAATAAAAGATCTACCAATGGCTACGGCAGTACTGCTATTGTGTCATATTGTACCCCTAGCGACAGTGAATATTCTGGTAGTATCGGGTCGTGTGCGGACACTTATGGCTGTAGCCGGGCCTTCATACCCAAAAGTGATTATCTCAAAGTTCAATTGTTGGACGCGCATAGTTTTTGGTGGCAAAACAAACCTTTCCCGTGCAGCATTGCGTCTGTTGGCATGATGGACGGTCTTGATTTCACTTTCCCTTTAATTAATCTCAACGACCCAAAAACATTCCAAAACAGTAAAGACTTTATGGATAAGCCATTAGTGTTAGATTGGAGACTAGGTTGGGAAGTATCTGGGCTGAACTGCACCACTATGCAGATTCGTCAACTTAACTATTGTCAAAAGAATAGTTTTTGCGTTGACTTGGATGAAAGTTATGGAGGAGTTCGCTGCAAGTGCAACGAGGGATACAAGGGCAATCCTTACCTCGATTCAGGATGCCAGGGTTAGTTTTGTTTTAAAATTACTATCCCTGCTAGCTCTTCATTTTGTCTAAAAGTTATTTCTTGATCTGATGCTAGATATAAATGAATGCCACAATAACCCGTGCGCCTCAAATGGAATTTGCATCAATAGTCCGGGTTCCTATGCTTGTTCCTGCCCTGTTGGTTATTATGGTGATGGTAAAGAAATTGGTACTGGTTGTATTTTAGTACTGAAATCCAGAAGCAAACTAACAATAGGTAACTTTCACATATTCAACAAGAATATACTTGAATTTTAAATATTATACAAATTGGGAATTATTTTTATTTACATCTTGAATTTTCTAATTGAACGGTGTATGGTTCTGTATAAAAATGAATAGGTCGATTCAAAGTTCGTTTGACTCAGTTAAAAAATTGCTTAAAAACGACTACTAATAAATTATTAGTATTTATACTTTTTCGAACATATATAAATTTGGATAGATTGTACACATAAATAATTTCATATGTTTTGCAAAAAGTTATATATATTCTGAACAACTACCTTCTCACTATATGAATACTCTACTAAAAAGGGAAACTTGCTCTACATTACAAATCTACCAAAATACATCTTTATCACTCAATTTCGAGCAATAGTGGTAACTTGAACATCATAGTTAAGCTAGGACAACTCAGTATATCATTTTTAGTAGATATTGAAAATCTATACTTACAATTTACAACATGAAAGTATTAGTATTCTTAGTAATATATGATTGTTGTCACCTCAATATCAAATAAGTAAATAAACAAGAAAAAATAAAAATTCCTACTCATGGAAAACTACATGATTGAAGTCCAAAATCGGTGTGATGGTCTTCTCTTTAATTACGTTGCATATGTTGACACTTTCAGGATTATGCTTGGGCATTGGAATGGGATTACTACTATTATCAACTAGCTTTTGGTTGTACAAGTTTACGAAGAAGAGAAAAAACAAAAGGCGCAAAGAAAAATTCTTCAAACGAAATGGTGGTCTCTTACTACAACAACAAATATCAACAGACGAATGTATACTTGAAAAAACACGACTTTTCACTATTAAAGAGCTAGAGAAAGCCACTGACCTCTTCAATGAAAGTCAAATACTTGGTCAAGGTGGTCAAGGGACAGTTTATAAAGGTATGTTATGTGATGGAAAAATCGTAGCAATAAAGAAATCCAAGAAAGTAGATGAAAATCAAGCAGAACAATTCATTAATGAGATTGTCATGCTCTCACAGATTACTCATAGGAATGTAGTTAAACTATTAGGATGTTGCCTCGAAACAGAAGTTCCTTTGCTAGTTTATGAATTCATTCCTAATGGAACTCTTTTCGATCTTATCCATGATGAGAGTCGTGAGTTTCCATTTTCGTGGAACATGCGCATGAAATTTGCTGTAGAAGTGGCGGAAGCACTTGCCTATCTTCATTCTGCAACTTCTATTCCTATCTATCATAGAGACATTAAATCGACCAATATACTTCTTGACGAAAATAATGTAGCAAAAATCTCAGATTTTGGAATTTCAAGGTCAATCGCAGTGGATCAAACTCATCTAAGTACACTAGTAAAAGGAACATTCGGATACTTTGATCCAGAATACTTCCAGTCAAGTCAATTTACAGAAAAAAGTGATGTTTACAGCTTTGGAGTTGTTCTTGTTGAGCTCTTGACTGGACAAAGGCCAATATCTCTTGATAGAGCAGAAGAGGAGAGAAATTTGGCAATAAATTTTTTGTCATACATGGAAAGAAAACAGCCTGAAGCAATTCTTGACGTACGAGTTTTAGAGCAAGATAAGAGAGAGGAGCTTAATGCAGTGGCCAAACTTGCACAAAGGTGCTTAAACTTGAATGGAAAGAAAAGACCAACGATGAAAGAAGTAGCCATAGAGTTGTGGAGTATTAAAATGTGTCAAATGCTTTCGAGTGCTTCTGATACCATGTCTCAAGGAACACGTTTGCAGAAGTCAAAATCAATCATGACTTCGAATGATGTCTACACATGGACTAGTACGGATGAAAACACCATCCCTTCATCAAGTGCATCTCCCTTAAAGATTCACACTTACTGATTGATGCCTCAGTGGTGTTTCTAAACAGTTCTCTCATTTGTTTCTTTTTGTAATTGTCACCTAAGCAACTAAATAACATTAAAATGCAATTCTTCTCTATATTAACATTTTGAAGTACCGAATTGGAGGTGGAATTTTAAATGATTTTAGAAACTCCATTTACTGCAAGAAATGATTGTTAAACAGGTGAAAATAATTTTCATCATGCCCACAGGTGCAAAAATATCTTGACATTTGATTGTGAAATTTTCATGAATGCACTCGCAGGGCAAATGACAGCACAGGCAGTACAACCCCCAATTTCCTAAAATATTCAAATAGCTAAATGCAGAACATGTTCACGAGGTGAGCAAAAAGCTACAGAAGAAACTTTTCTAAATATAATGACAAGTGAATTTTCAATTATTTAACAAAACATTTAGTGTCGTTATTTAACTTCATTCTCGTTAGCAACTTCAAGAGACGAAGCTGATGGCAACACTGAAATCTCTGAGTTATTCAGACCCTATTCCCAAACCATATTTACGGGAAAGAGTATAGTTGAACTCAAAACACTAGTTGAAAACACATTCAACAACCAACAATGGTGAATAATTTCCAATCAAATATTTTATAAACACGAAAAATAAAAATTGGTAATTTAGAAAATTGCAAAAAAAATAAATAAATATTGTCTCAGATATATATAGATGAAAGAAGTAGCCATAGAGTTGGGGAGTATTAAAATGTGTCAAATGCTTTCGAGTGCTTCTGATACCATGTCTCAAGGAACACGCTTGCAGAAGTCAAAATCAATCATGACTTCGAATGATGTCTACACATGGACTAGTACGGATGAAAACACCATCCCTTCATCAAGTGCATCTCCCTTAAAGATTCACACTTACTGATTGATGCCTTCAGTGGTGTTTCTAAACAGTTCTCTCATTTGTTTCTTTTAGTAATTGTCACCTAAGCAACTAAATAACGTTAAAATGCAATTCTTCTCTGTATTAACATTTTGAAGTACCGAATTGGAGGTGGAATTTTAAATGATTTTAGAAACTCCATTTACTGCAAGAAATGATTGTTAAACAGGTGAAAATAATTTTCATCATGCCCACAGGTGCAAAAATATCTTGACATTTGATTGTGAAATTTTCATGAATGCACTCGCAGGGCAAATGACAGCACAGGCAGTATAACCCCCAATTTCCTAAAATATTCAAATAGCTAAATGCAGAACATGTTCAGGAGGTGAGAAAAAGCAACAGAAGAAACTTTTCTAAATATAATGACAAGTGAATTTTCAATAATTTAACAAAACATTTAGTGTCGTTATTTAACTCCATTCTCGTTAGCAACTTCAAGAGATGAAGCTGATGGCAACACAGAAATCTTTTGAGTTATTCAGACCCTTTTTCCCAAATCATATTTAAGGGAAAGAGTATAGTTGAACTCAAAACACTAGTTGAAAACACATTCAACAACCAGCAATAGTGAATAATTTCCAATCAAATATTTTATAAACACGAAAAATAAATAAAGGTAATTTAGAAAATTGAAAAAAAATGAATAAATATTGTCTCAGATATATATCCAATAATTACATATAATAGTGCAGCAACCCCAAGTAGGTTCTCCCTTTGCAGGGTCTTGAGATCAAATACACCTCAATTGTGGATTATCTCATCATGGAAGACAAGTAATTTATGGTTACAAAATCAAAAGTTAATAATTTAACAATGCAATTGGGAAAATAAATATAAATGTCATGGTGGATTTTGAGTAACAAATTGTTCAAAAAGCTCAGAGAGATTAAACAGCTTATCAATCAAGAATTTTCTGAAGCAGAACTGGCATAATTGGCTGTGTATCAATCATCAGCGCCTATAAAACCTGAAGCTGTAATTAAAACAATTAAAATAGAATAACCTAATCGGCTTATATCAAGAAATTCAATCAATTTTATCCATCTGCTTCAAGGATTATGCATCTCAAGCGCGGGCAATTAATTAATCATAGCCAGACAATTTACAGAAAAAAAAAAGATTCAACCGTTTTAGGGGTTTCTTTACTGAAAACAATAACTGAAAGAAAATCTAAAGGTGTGGAGGAAGCAAAATATAAAATTCCAATACAGAGAATATGTAGACGTTGATTTGACACAGATTAGCCGTGGAAAAGATGTACAAAGAGACAAATCTGCAACACTAAACGGCGTCAATCTAGCACGAGCTTTGGGGCTTCGACTTCATTTGTAAAATCTCAGAAGAGCCCGGGAGGCTACGTGCAAATTACACTTTGTACATGTAAATTTTAAACACACGTGAATACACATAGAAGCACACAAAATCATAAAATTGGATGAATTTTTTGAGATTATTACCGAGGATACAAGACTTTAGGGTTTGATGGAGATTGATTTCGGGGGCTGAGATTTTATGATGAAATTAATGGAGAAGGTTGGATTATATAGATGGAATTCAGAAACCCTAAAAAAGCCCGGATTACATGAATTTACGAAATTTGAATCCGGCCCGTTTACCCGTTAAGATAGATTTATAATTAATAATTATTCTATTTAAGCATTACTACAAAATTTTGGATTCATTAGTATCTCTTACAGTCGTACTATTATTGCCTTCATCAACTGGTTACAAAAATTTATTGATTCAATTTTCCTATTGTTTTCAAAATTTAGAGTGATGTACTAATAGGCACTTCTAGGCCCCTTTTCGACTACTGCATTACTCCAGTGCTTCGGGTATCACAAACCCTCTGCAATAAATTGTAGCGGAGCCGTTTCTTGAGCAGGGAGGCTAAACACAATTATTTGAATCAAACGTCGAAAGAAATTGATTCTTTTTAAAATATCAAAACCTAAATCGGATAGGATATGATATATGGATGGATCTATCTTTCTATTCAAGAAAAGCATGCTTTTAGTCCGTTACAACAATATGGCAGACGACACATTGGCCATTGCTCTTTCTTCGTAGCTACAGAAATCATTGATATTTATGGTAGACGACACATCGGCCATATTGTTCTTAGGTAAAATGCAGACCACCTGCTTGCGTGATTGTAGCATTTATAATTCCCTCAAAGTTCAGCTACCCTCTGCTAGTCTTTTCTATTCAATCTCATGTTTCTTCACTGAATGACTTAATTCATCAAAGCATTGATGTTCAGCATCAGCTTTGTTAGATAACCCAGCTACTACCAGGTGCCGCCTTCACCCCTCTCTCCTTCATTTCTCTTGTAAACTTTTCGGCTTCCTCATATCTCTCCTTGCTAGCATAAATTCTTGCCAGCAGTATGTAATTAGCTGGATTCTCTGGCTCTATTTCAAATAAAGCCGTACCAGCTAATTCTGCTAGCTCCACTTCCCCATAAGTTCGACAAGCTCCAAAAAGCGCTCCCCAAGCTTTTGCAGTTGCTTTTATTTTCATCCCTTTTAGAACTTCGTATGCCTCGTATAGTCTCCCAGTTCTACTCAAAACATCCACTAGACAAGCATAGTGATCACCATTTGCTTCTATGCCATAATAACTATGCATTCGAGAAAAGTGCATACGTGCTTCATCAGCTAATCCCGAATGACTACATGCCTTCAATACTCCAAGAAAAGTGATCTCATCAGGCTTTACATTCGACATTTCCATTTGTTCAAATACCCAGAGTGCCTTTTTGGCCATCCCATGCAGTGCGTAGGCAGATATGAGGCTACTCCAGGCAACCACGTCTTTTTCTGCCATGCTCTCAAAGACAACATGTGCTTTATCAAGACACCCACATCGCCCATAGGTTTCCACTAGGCCACTCCTAAAATGCTGGTGTGGATCAATATCATTCCTTATTGAATAGCCATGTATCTCTTTGATCAAATCCAATGCTGCAATCCCCGCACAAGCACGTAATAAAGCAAGTACTGTAATTAAGTTCGGCTTCAAACTCATCTCCCACATTTTTCTATAGAAAGCTAAGGCTTCAAACAACTTCCCCTCTATTTCCAACAAACCCATGATAATCGTATTGAAAGTCGACGCGTTAGGCAATTCATCCATCGCCCCGAACAACTGCAAGGCATTCTGCATATTCTTAGAATGTGTATACAGCGAAATCATGGAGTTCCATAAAACAACGTTTCTTACGCACATTTCATCAAACAGTTGGCGAGCAGAGGAAATGGAGACGCATTTTCCATACATGTCAACAAGACCGCAGGCAACAAATGGATTTTTATTGAAAGAGGATTTCAGAGTGAGGGAGTGGATGGATGCGCCAAGAAGCGGGCAGAGGAGGAATGCACAGGACTTGAGAGCAAGGGGGAAAATGAAAGGGTCTAAGGAAAGAGATAAAGAAGAGTGGATTTCTCGAAAGAGGGTGAGAGCTTGGTGATGGCGGCCTTGATTGACGTGATGGGTCAGGCGTTTTGTATAAGAAAGCAAGCGGAGGAAGTTCGAAGAGTAGGAGCCCATGCTTTGGTTGGTTTACAGTAAAGTTGTTTGAAGCAGTGACTATAGTTTTTTCATTTCCTTATGTTTCATTATAGAAGTATTATTTACTTATTTATAACTAATTTTTATTTATTTATAAATTAAATGGCAAGTGCACATTATATGTGAGATATTGCTCGATTTATTAAAATTCTTATTTATTCAAATGTCAAAATGTGAGTTAACTAAATTTGTGATGCCATCCACTCGACCCCCTTGACGATTTGACTTGGACACTTTGATTTTATTTCAATTAAAGTAACTATGTTCAATTTCGTCTATATAAATTGATGAATGGACAATTAATAAGGCCCTGTTTGGGAGAGATAAAGTTTACATTTTATATTTTATGTATTTTGTATTTGATAGTCTTAGTCTTTTACAATTTGGAATAGATTCAAGACAATAAAGTATTCTAAGGCCCTGTTTGGGAGAGATTTTGATTTTTTTACAGTAAATCAATTCTCATTTTCAACCACACATTCTTCAATTAAATAATATTTTCCATCACATCGATAATTTTTTCTTTTTTTTCAACCACACATTTCTCATCATATCACTATTCAAAATCAATTCTTCCCCAAAAATCCCTCCCAAATAAGCTCTAAATGATATTCGTTTCTTTTAATCGTTAGTTGCTAAAGTCAATAAGTACTATTTTAGTAATATAAGGGCTTGTTTGGTAAATATTAAAATCCAATTAAAATTAAAAATATAGCCGTTATTGGGTGGGTCCTACCCGTCTAATAAAAGTCAACAATAAAGACTAATTTTTTTAATTTTAATTCGATTTTAATTTCTATCGAACACGCCCTAAGTAATCATCATTTTTCGACTGCCATTTCATTGTTTCCCTCATCCAATTGACATAATTGATGAAGTTACCCAACTGAAATCAAATCAAAATGTCGTTATTTTAACAAAATTGAAATACAGTTACATAATTGACATGAAATTAATTTAATTTACCGCAAATGAAATTTAACCAATGAAAAGCGGGCAGAGGAGGAATGCACAGGGCTTGAGAGCAAGGGGGAAAATGAAAGGGTCTAAGGAAAGAGATAAAGAAGAGTGGATTTCTCGAAAGAGGGTGAGAGCTTGATGATGGCGGCCTTGATTGACGTGACGGGTCATGCGTTTTGTATAAGAAAGCAAGCGGAGGAAGTTCGAAGAGTAGGAGCCCATGCTTTGGTTGGTTTACAGCAAAGTTGTTTGAAGCAGTGACCATAGTTTTTTCATTTCCTTATGTTTCATTATAGAAGTACTATTTACTTATTTATAACTAATTTTTATTTATTTATAAATTAAATGGCAAGTGCACATTCTATGTGAGATATTACTCGATTTATTAAAATTCTTATTTATTCAAATGTCAAAATGTGACTTAACTAAATCTGTGATGCCATCCACTCGACCCCCTTGACGATTTGACTTGGACACTTTGATTTTATTTCAATTAAAGTAACTATGTTCAATTTCGTCTATATAAATTGATGAATGGACAATTAATAAATGATAGTCGTTTCATTTAATCGTTAGTTGTTAAAGTCAATAAGTACTATTTCAGTAATATAACGGCTCGTTTGGTAAAAATTAAAAATATAATCGTTATTGGGTCTCACTCGTCTAATAAAAGTCAACAATAACAGCTAATTTTTCAATTTTAATTCGATTTTAATCTCTATCAAACAAGCCCTAAGTAATCATCATTTTGCGACTGCCATTTCATTGTTTCCCTCATCCAATTGACATAATTGATGAAGTTACCCAACTGAAATTAAATCAAAATGTCGTTCTTTTAACAAAATTGAAATACAGTTACATAATTGACATTAATTAATTTAATTTTGGCGTTTACTTTAAATTGGTTACTTATAACAATAGCTGGTGATAAAAAATGAAATTAACCCCCAAAATAATAATCAATTATGTCCCGTGGGAGAAGACAAGAAACAAAAAGAAAGAAGAAAAAGGACTACCAAAAATAATAGGGGGCCAAACTGGAATATACAAAATAAATATATTCAAATTTCAAAACTTATATTCCATTATTCTCTGATAATTCGATCCTCCAATTCAACCCCAATCTTATTCAACCTCTGGGTAGAAGTTCATCGTATAAAATAAAAATCAATATAGCCCGAATAAACTAGAAAAACCCATATCAAATTCCAGAGTTGAATTGATGCTGCTGAATATCATAAATTCTGATTATTTGAATTGGATCAGCAGCTCATATTCACCTCCCTCATGGGCAGCTTTAACCGCTGGATTTTTCGTGATCCTCACTTTGACCCTCTCTGTTTATCTGATATTCGAGCATCTCTCTGCCTACAAAAACCCCGAGGTCATATATAGATTTCGTATTACAATTTTCTTGATTTTGTTTACTCTTTAGTTTTTTTTAATGGGTTTTTGGATTCTGAATTAATCTTTATTGGTTTCTGTGGGTGGATTGCAGGAGCAGAAATTTTTGATTGGTGTGGTATTGATGGTGCCCTGTTATGCTGTTGAATCAGTAAGTTCTGTTTTTCATGTGATTTGTTTCATTATTTTTCAAAACTAGATTGAAGCGAGAATAATATTTGATGATTTAGCCGATCAAGCTGAATTGGCATAGTGGAAGCATATATTTGCTCTGGATCCTCTCTTGTTCCGCGCCCAACACCTTTTACTTTTTGTAATCTTAGAGTGTCTTGAGGGTAACAAAGTGTGATGAAGAGTTTCTGCAATGAAGTAGAAGATATTTACAAACTTTGTATAAAATACCTTGGAAAGTTGTATAGAAATGGACGGTTCTACTAATCACAATAGCTAATCCACAGGTTTTTAAAGCCTTGGGCAAACTTATGGACTGTGTACAAATATTTAAAATCCAACCATATTCCTGTGACATTTTGTTTTGAAGTATAGTCAAAATGTGCACATCATATAATCACATCTGGAATTTATATTGCTCTAACATGGTTTATTTGTGCAGTTTGTATCTTTGGTAAACCCAGCAATTAGTGTTGATATTGAGATCCTGCGTGATTGCTATGAATCCTTTGCCATGTATTGCTTCGGGAGATATCTCATTGCGTGTTTAGGTATGAATATATACGGTTTACGATTTAGATTTGGATTAGCTTAATATTTTCATTTTCCCTTTATAAATATTTTACTTGTTGTTATTCCAGGTTTTATATTTTATTTTCAGAATATAAGGCCTCGACATCCATGTTTCTGTTTTTCTGAAAGAAGCTCATTAATGTTATGTTTGTTGTAATCATCACCGATCAATAGTTCACTTGACACAATACAATCCTAAATTTCCAATAAAACTCATGTCTTATATGACTAGCTCATTGTATTTTCTCATGTATTAATGTTCTGAATTAGGTGGAGAAGAAAGGACAATCGCATTTATGAAGAGGGAAGGATGCATAAGTGCGAAAACACCCTTATTAGATCATGGGTCTGAAAGGGGAATTGTAAAGCACCCCTTTCCCATGAGTCTTATTTTAAAACCTTGGAAAATGGATCAATGGGTTTACCAAGTTTTCAAGTTTGGTATTGTTCAATACGTAAGTTTTCCAATTCTTAGTAGACCTTATAGCCTATGCTATTGTCAACTCTTATCTATTCTTTCTTCATGGGAAATGAACCACGTAAATTTCTATGACAGATGATTATAAAAGCAGTTACTGCTATTTTGGCTGTGATTCTTGAAGCCTTTGGTGTATATTGTGAAGGAGATTTCAAATGGAATTGTGGGTAAGATAGATGTGTATCTTCTAAATATTTGGAATAGTCAATCATTACATTTTTGGTTAATTATGGGATTACTTAGTGGTAAAAAAGGAATGCAAAGCATATGTTAGTATTGGACTCGCCAATGAAAATGCATTTATAGTGTTTTGTTTTTATTATGGCGTTATTATTTGAATGCCTATATATCCAAATGTTTTTTACTGTACCTTCTATGTTTTCATTGGCATCTAATGATATTAATGTTTTCCTTGATATAATTTTTTGTCTTAAATCATCCCCAGAGTTATCCACATCTTATTCTATTGTTAGTTTAATAGGTTCTTATCATTGTTGCTTGCAATTAATTTCAATTAGTATTGCCTTTTGATGTCTTGCCATCAAATTTACCTCTATTGAAGATGATATTGCCATTTTATTTGCAAATATAGAGGAGGCCTGAAATATCTCTAATTATATCTGCCTTCTATTCTTTGTAGGTACCCTTACATGGCTGTGGTTTTAAATTTTAGTCAGTCATGGGCTTTGTATTGCTTAGTTCAATTTTATACCATCACAAAATATGAATTAGCACACATTAAACCGCTATACAAGTTCTTGACATTTAAGTCAATTGTGTTTCTAACTTGGTGGCAAGGTGTGGCTATAGCCCTTCTCTACGCCCTTGGTTTATTTAAAAGTCCAATAGCTCAAGCACTGCAATTTAAGTCAAGTGTCCAGGACTTCATCATCTGTATTGAGGTAATTGTTTTACTTTGGCCTTTGCTATTGTTATTGCTCCTAGTAAACTATTTTACTTACAATAATGATACATTTTGATATGTTTAAGAAACACTGTGAAGTCTTATGATGTTCGGACTCGGGTATGGGTATCGAGTACAGGTACGTATCTAAGTGTCGAATCTTTTATTTTCTAATATGTAAGATACGGCGACATGACTAAAAAGAGTTCAAATTTCGGACTCGAGTACGTGTATACGTCTTTCAAATTTCAATTTTTTTACTGATCTAAGATATCATTGTGAATAGTCCAAATTCAATTATTCACAAAGAAGGAAATTGGTATTGTATAAGGAGTTAAGACGAATAAAATAGAATTTTAGGATTCAATTTTCAATTATGGGAATTACTAAATGTCATATAAAATAGAAAATTAGAGATTTGATTGCAATTTGGATTTAGTGAAGTACTAAGTAGCACTATATAGAGCCCATTTCATTTTAAACAAATAAAACCTTAAATCACCGATACAGAGGGAGAAAGAAGGAAAAAAAGTAGAAGAAAATGGAAAGAAAAACGAAGGAAGAAAAAAAAGAAGGGAAAACCTAGCGCCACCACCTTTCTCCACCCTCTCAGCTGCGACGTTAGGTTTATAGAGAGCAAAAAGGGGAAAGAAAAAAAGGGAAAGAAAATGAAATGAAAAAAAAAAAAAGAAGAAGTAAAAACGACGAAGTGTCTGGTTGAAATTTGGAGGATCCGACACATATTTCATACTCATACCCATGTCGTGTCGTGTCGTGTCCGACACGGATACTCCGACTATTTCGAAGAGTCCGAGCATCAGAAGGCATGATTACTTCCAAGTTGCTTTATAAAACAAATTATTAATACTTCTCCACATCACTGAATAATTAATACTTTTACACGTCTTTGAATATGTCATTTTTAATTTTTAATTTTTTGGTTTGGGGATGGGATGGATATGGATAACTGGCTTGATAAGCATCCATGAACTTTAGTCATCCAAACTTCTACCGAAGGTAGGTTGTTTTATTGTAAAGTTATTTCATTCTGGTAAATGATCCTTTCCAGTTTTAGCAATTGGCAATTGTGCCGTAGATAGTGAAAAGACCAGGAAGTAGGTCTCTACTCATTGGATAACATTGAATGGAAATCACATCTACTGATTTGGAAGGGGAAGTAGCAGTGCAGTGAAAGTAATGTAGGATAAGTTCATCAGACTTGTGAAAGAATTAGATGAGTTTGATAACGATAAGGATCGTGAGTTAGGGGTTTGAGAATAGTGCGAGGAAATTGGTGGTATTGGAAGAAAATTACAGGATTTCACAGGGAGGGAGCAGGGAGGATAAGAAACAAAAAATAAATTTAGCTCGAGGATGGAAAGAAAGGAGAAGGGATTCTAAGCTTCAGAATTTGAAGTACAGAAAGAGCGGCTATCTATACAAGGTTGGCCTGTATACTTAGATGGGGAACTCTCTTTTTTGTAAATTATTGACTTCTTAAATCGAACGAGAAAAGAAAGGTTCTTGACTATTGTTAGTGATTTTTAAATGTCATGTACCAACAATTTAATTTATTCTGAATTTCTCATGTAAAATATTTAAGTTTAACAGGTCTATGTATTCATCCAGCACAGATGGGCATTGCTTCTGTGGTTCACCTTTATGTGTTTCCTGCAAAGCCTTATGAATTAATGGAGGATCGCTTTTCTGGAAGTGTTTCAGTTCTTGGAGATTATGCATCTGTTGATTGCCCTCTAGATCCTGATGAGGTTAGGGACAGCGAACGTCCCACAAAATTACGCCTTCCCCAACCTGATATTGATGTTAGGAGTGGAATGAGCATCAGAGAAAGTGTGCGAGATGTCTTCGTCGGCGGGGGTGAATATGTAAGTCATCTTCTTTCACACATTTAAGTGTGTAATCCCCTGCCCTCCTTGAGCAATCTATTGAAACTATAATCAATACCTGTTGATTTTTCCTCTTACATTAAGTACATTTTAGAAGAAACAAATATTTGTAGAGTACGGGAATGTAATATTTGTCGTCTAAAATTTTTTTTCTTGATATTAACAAAGTTGTGTTGATATCTTGTGGTTTCATATGGGTGAACTTTCTCCAATGCAAAATAACTCACTCATTGACTTCTGCATAGCACCTGGTCATAAGTTTGACTCTGCAGATCAGTTATTTGTGGGGTGGATGGAGGGGATGCATTGAAAGAAAGAAAAAGTTGTTAGTATGATCAAACTAAGCTCACCTAGTTATTATCCTCCTCCATCTGGTTTGATGACTAATCATCTTGAATTCTGAAGATAGCTAGTATCCGGGGTGGAGGGGATACATTACAAGAAAAAGTTGTTAGTATGATCAAACCAAGCTCACGTAGTTATTATCCTCTTCCATCTCTCTTGACATTCTGAAGATTGCTAGTATCTGACCTATAAAGATTCCCTGCAAAGCTTCACAAGACGACCAAGATTTATCCTCCTCTCTCAGGAGGGCTGTTTCATTTGTTTACAGATTTTTATGAATGTGATTATGGACATTCAGTAGTTAGTTACTTGGCGGGGTTAGGGAAGTTAGAACTTGGCTAACGAGGAGGAGAAAGGGGTTCTGTCTGTTATTATCTTTTTGCCCTTCACATTGATTAAAAAAGTCCTTGCCTGTTTTCTTTGATTGTCTTGTGTCCTGCAAATGAAGATTTATTCAAGCGTTACCTCATTATCATTTCTTTCAGTCATGTTCAAGTTACGTTCTGGTGTTGACCTTTACTTTTTCGACACCTTGAAAACAGATTGTAAATGATTTGAAGTTTACAGTAACTCAAGCGGTCGAACCCGTGGAGAAAGGAATCAATAAGTTCAATCAGAAATTGCATAAGATCTCTCAGAACATAAAGAGGCATGACAAGGGGAAGAGAACAAAGGATGACAGTTGCATAGCTACAACTTCACCAACACGCAGAGTGATCCGAGGAATAGATGATCCTCTCTTAAATGGCAGTATCAGTGACAGTGTCAGTTCAAGGAGAAAGAAGCATCGTCGAAAATCAGGGTATACCAGTGCTGAAAGCGGTGGCGAGAGTAGCAGCAGTGATCAGACCTTTGGCAGTTATCAAATTCATGGCCGTAGGTGGGTTATCAAAGATTAGTTAAGGTAATTGGTTTGGGTTCAATACTTTTACGTTTCATTTGTAAGAATTAAACCCACCACCGTGACAACTGACACACAAGGCTGCAACTGTGCATTTTCCGGCATTTTATGCCCCAAGAGAAGTTCGTTTGAGGTGTTTGCGCTACCTTTTTGGGTCCTTTAAAAGGTGCAAGGGTAATTAATGTATGCGAAGGGCTTGTAGATTTTGGACTCCTGTCCTGTTATTTTGCAGACAGCAGGCCTTGACAATTGTTGTATAGAGATCCATGTCTATTTGGTCACAACTCATTGTAAGAAGATCTGTTTCCCTAATACTAAACTTCGATTCGTGCCTTAGCTATTTTGAGTATAAAGCCTTTGCCCAGTGAAGTTGAATCTTGTCAGATGCATCGCCCAATAGAAAAGCATCGAAAATTCTTGTGCCCTCTATGCAATGGAATGCCCAAGTAGGTAATACAAGGATTTTAGTGTCTGAAGCCATTAGTTTCAGATCGAACAAGTTTTAATAAGAGAACGTAATTCAACTTTAATTGTGGCTAAATTTTCGGGCTTAAATCGTATGATAAACACGAACTTTCTCTAACGAATTTTGCCGACGTAGTAATACATAAAATCATTTGTTTACATGTTGACGCTTAATAGTATCATTTAGGATTTTTGATCTTAACAAGTTATAATCGTTAGAAATTTGAATAACTATTATCACAAGAAAATAATCATCGCATGTAAAAAAAAATAAAAAATAAAAAAAAATCAACACCAATATTCACAATTCAACTACTTTTGATGATGACAAAGCCTAAAAATACTACCCAAAATTGTGCTATTAAGCTCAACAGTAAAAAATAAAATTAAAAGAATCACTCAAACTCCTTAAAAAATAAATAATAAAATCATTTTATATAATAGTTTACCTTATGCCTATAAGCTATACGCTACAAAAATTTGAAAAAAAAATTAAAATTTAACAACAATGCAAAACTTGTGCAAAAATTTCAACTTAAAAGCAAAAACAGAATTCTACAAATAATTACCAGATTATTGTACCTATTTTTGTGTGAATTGTGAAACAGTACTCATCAACGCAATCACCACCGACAATTATACGAATTGTTGCCTGTAAATTCCAGATCCTCCAGTCCAGTTCCATATGCTTTCTATTTAACTGCACTGCATATTTTCCAGTACATTTACAACATCCAATTGTTCGTTTCAACCTATCATTATTCAATTCTCACCTTATATGAATTTGTTTAAACTTCCCTGTATTTCTCCAAAATTCGAGTGAATAAATAAACAATGAGGCGCCGAGGCTCAGATTTTCGGCGACCAGTGAGGCGACGATTTTCAAATATATTCTGGATAATTTTGAGTGGGATAGTAATTCTACTGTTTATTGGTCTGTTAAGCAGAGAGAATCAGCAGCCCACTTCAAGATCGGCTGCCAAGGTATTTATTGATCTCAATTTAACTTTCTTTTTCACACTTTGTCCAATTTGAACCAAGAAACTGAGAAATTGCATAAATGTAATAAAACCTTCATTGGAGTCTAGATTTTATTTTGATAACTTGGGTACATTTTATGTGTTTGTTCTTTAATGGGTGTCTTCTTGTTTTGTTAATGATGGAAAATTGAGATGTGGTTGATGAAATGCGTATAAAGAGTGAAGAAATGTTTACTCTGGCATTCCGGTTTCAGTTCTGTGAAGTGTTTAATGTATAAACCCAGGATTCTTGTTGATTGGAGATGAATGTCAATGGAATTGTATTTGTTGTTTTTGTAATTTATTTTAGATTACAGGATATTGATGACGTATAATCCTATAGGAAATTTCTAGTAAACTCAGTAAACTGTCTAGGAGTCTATTTTTTTCTCAAAGGCGCTTAGTTTGTGAATGCTACATTCTTAAATCAGTTTTCCCTCAAAGAAGGGACTTATGCAGAAATTTAACTCCAGATGCAGTTAATGTAGGAGAAAAAGGTGTATGCATACAGTCATAAAGAACTGAAGAAATTAGTTCTTATATACTTGGTAAGGAGAAGGGTGTGTGTAGTGGTGGGAGAGGCGGGAATGAGAAAGAGAACGGTAGGTGTGAATTTAAGTTTAAGCACTAATGCCGTCATTATTCTTGACTAACATGAAAGCTTTAGTACCGCTTTGTTAGATTTAAATGCCTGCTTTAAATAATTAGATTGATTACCATATGCACCAAGACTCTGTAACTTTTTTGGAAGTTACTAGAGAAAAAGTATTTACAAGGAGGAAAATAGATATATGTAAGTTTAGCGTTTCATTTTTGATATTGTCAATGACCTTGGGCAAGTAGCAGCCTATTGTGGTAGATGTTTTCTAGACTGTCTTACATAATTGTGGTCATTTTAATGATTGAAGAAGAATTTTAGATTCGTTAACTGAAGCAGTGATTGAATATTGATGTTTATTTTAGGCAATGGTATACATGTTTTAGACGATCATGATGCAATTTGGGATCATAGAAAAATTACTTAAGGAGGACGCTTTGCATTTACATTGATGAATATAAGTTGTTCTAGGTTTAATTTGAATATTGTTACAAAGGTCCAGAGCCACGCTTGATTTCTCAACATAGAAGTGCATGTACCTTGATTCAACAGGCTATCTCATTTTTGGAGCTTCCGAATCAGCCAACCTCATAATTGTTTACGGCAGGAAACTCATTTGAGCATTTGAGCTGTTTGTAGTAGAAGTCAGAGATGAACGAACAGGGCATTCACTAAATAGTGCTCTAGTTTATCTGATGCGAAGGATAAAGCACCCGTGGTTTAAATGGTGGAGGTGTGATTTCATCCAAGTTTACTGGACATCGTTATACCTCTAGAAATGTGTTCGTTCACTTGTCCAAAAATTGGGCATACTAGTGACTTGGAATACTAACCTTTTTCTTGAATATTATTAGCACTCCCTTTGCAGTATTGATGGTGTGTGCCGTCGCTGGTACCCAAAAGTAATACCTTAACCTCTAAAACTAATGTAGTAGTGGAAGCAAGGGTTGATCCCACGAAGAGTGTGTAATTCAATATTTTATGTTTCGTACCATGATTGTGGGGTTTTTATATGCAAGCAATTGTAAATAACGTAATCAATAACAATGAAAATTAAATTAACGAAAACAATCAAAAGACTAACATTGGTTTAAGTCCACATCCACCGTCAGAAATCTACTATTGATCATAGATTCAATTATAATTCAATTCATATTTTGAATATTCATTGTTGGAAATTATTCATATTTCTCCTTAATTTTAGTTAGTTAGAAATCAGCGCTCTAATTAACCCTAATTATTAAATAACCCCAGACCAGCGCTCAAGATTCAATTTAATAACAATTTTACACAATAGAGAAATCGATGAACTAGTTAACACAAACACCAGCGGTTGCATTCAATCTATTTAAATATTTTTCTTAAGATTCAATAACCTCTATCGCAGACAATTTTCAAATCCTAGTGTTTCACAAGTTAAATGGATCAAACAATTACGGATTTGATGTTTAACTTAGCGGTGGGTTGTTACAATCAATAAACTAGCGGCCCTCTAGCAATTAAACGCAACAAANAAATAAATGCAGAAGAATATTCAATACGCAAAATAAGAATTAAACAATAAGAAAAACTATTTAGATCTCACAATATGTGGTTCCGAGGTTTCAATTTCCTTCGACCCAATGTAAAAGTTTAATTACAATTCATGAATCTAATAGAGAAATAATGAAAAATGGAGTTTGGAGGCGTTCTCCCCGTTCTAGGGTTTTAAAATATGTATTTATAGTTGTTTTCATAGGTGGTTGACTTAAATTAGAAAACCAAAAATTTTTCCCCGATTTGTCCTAGGCGGGCGCCCAGGCATAAATATTGGCTTCTGTTAATGAAGTTTCCAATGTAACGGAGCGGCCTTTAGTATTTTGATCATATCTTCCTCTCCCGATATCCGATTGAGTTGATTCAAGATGCGTTAGAAAGCTAACTCAAAGGGCTACAATTTTGCTTCAGATACCATCTTCCAATTCGATCGTTTGCCATGTCAAAAATGGGTCTCAAACTGAGACTGAAAATCCGATGCATAACTTTTTGATTGAAAATTGATGTGTGACCCTATTTTGACGATATTTCTCCCATTTGACTTCTTTCTTCATTTAATTGACTTCTAACACTCTCAAATTTTCATCATTTGGTTCGACACAACTTTTGTGTATTTTCACGTTAGTCCTTGAACTTTCATTTCCTTTCACTTTGGTCATTTTTCATTTATTTCTTCCAAATTATGTCATCTACATTGAATTGCCACCTAAATCAAAATATTACGTAATGAGTACATTTGGGTAATAATTAATTATACGAGCACATAAAATAAGGAGGAAAAAATATGCATTTTACATACCTATCAATTGACTATTCAAATTATATCTATCGTAGAAAATCATCAAATCCTAATATATCACAAGTTAAAGAAATCATACAATTACGGATTTGATATTTTACTTAGCGGTAGATTGTAACGAAAAACAAACTTATAGGCCTCCTAACAATTAAACATAACAATCATGAAAATAAGTGCAGAAGAATATTCAATACGCAAAATAAGAATTAAACAATAAGAAAAACTATTTAGATCTCACAATATGTGGTTCCGAGGTTTCAATTTCCTTCGACCGAGTGTAAAAGTTTAGTTACAATTCATGAATCTAAGAGAGAAATAATGAAAAATGGAGTTTGGAGGCGTTCTCCCCGTTCTAGGGTTTTAAAATATGTATTTATAGTTGTTTTCATAGGTGGTTAACTTAAATTAGGAAACCAAAAATTTTTCCCCGGCCCACCCAGGCACAAATATTGGCTTCTGTTAATGAAGTTTCCAATGTAACGGAGCGGCCTTTAGTATTTTGATCATATCTTCCTCTCCCGATATCCGATTGAGTTAATTCAAGATGCGTTAGAAAGCTAACTCAAAGGGTTACAACTTTGCTTCAGATACCATCTTCCAATTCGATCGTTTGCCATGTCAAAAATGGGTCTCAAACTGAGACTGAAAATCCGATGCATAACTTTTCGATTGAAATTTGATGTGTGATCCTATTTTGACGATATTTCTCCCATTTGACTTCTTTCTTCATTCAATTGACTTCTAACACTCTCAAATCTTCATCATTTAGTTCGACACAATTTTTGTGTATTTTCACGTTAGTCCTTGAACTTTCATTTCCTTTCACTTTGGTCATTTTTTATTTATTTCTTCCAAATTATGTCATCTACATTGAATTGCCACCTAAATCAAAATATTACGTAATGAGTACATTTGGGTAATAATTAATTATACAAGCACATAAAATAAGGAGGAAAAATATGCATTTTACATTCCTATCAATTGACTATTCAAATTATGAAATTTCTTCATCATCTAGGAAATATAATAGCATCATTAAATTTTTCATGAAGATTTTTCAGTGTTTATAATATAAAGAATCCTACCCCTTAGGGCACCATTTTACTCTATGTAACAAATCGTGCACTTGATCTTGGTCCATGAATGGTGCATATCATAGGTTATCAGGGTTAAATGAATTTGCAATCTTTGATTATTTCTTTTTGAAAATGATGGTGATTTAAGGAAAATATGTGTATATAAGGAAACGTACTAGTTTGTTCTTTTGGTGGAGAGATAATATTTAATGAGGAATAGATATTAGAAGAATATAATAATGTAAATGAAATAATCATTTTGACCTATATGAACACAATGCGGCAAGTTACAGTTTCTGAATGTTGTCTTAGCACTTTATTTCTAGAAAATGTCAAATGTTGTTCTTATAAATATCCCCGAGAACACATGGCTATGCCCAGTAGTCGAGGCACTTAGCTATACTAAGAAAACACCATCATCATATTCCACGGGCAATTTTGGGCTTGCCTAGGTGTGGGGCTTCAGTCGGATTCACCTCAAAAATGTGTTCCAGGCTTTTGAACAGAAAATAATTATTTAAGTTTGTTTGCTATCTTTTCGTGGCTATGTACTATATCAAACAGTTTCTGGAAATGAGTGTTATTGTAAGATAGTTTCCTTAAATAGAAACAACTATGAAACCAGGCAAGATGTTCTCTCCCAGGTGTTTATTGCTGTATATAAGAGTAAGATGGCTTTAAGCATGATGAAAGGTTTGGTGCCAAGACCTCCTCCTAGAGTACCTGAAACTATGCTCCATGCAAAGGTCCTCTTGATCTTAGCATTTTGCCATGGTGGCATGCCAATCTTATTATTGCCAGTAAATATTTTCGTCTATGCCAGGTTGGATTGAAAGTCTGAAGTGGATGTTTGTCAAATTTGCACTCATGTAAATGTAAGGGGAAATGTGAATTCATTTATGTTGGATTTGACATGCATCTGAACTGACATTTTTTGGCTGTCTTTTGCTAATGAAATATTCTTCTATAATTAATTATCTTATTGTTGCTTTTGTACAGTTAATTGTTTCATGTGTTATTTCCTCATCGTATCATTCTAACCTTCCTAGTACAGAATGAGAGGTTTTTTTATGTCTGCTTTTTATTCCATGCAGAGATCCTATAGACACGATAAAATTATAGGCGGCCTTAATATCACTGATGAAGTGTTGAGTCCTGATTCTGTAGATAGGCAATTGAATGATCAAATTTCTTTGGCAAAGGCATTTCTTGTCATTGCTAAAGAAAGCAAAAACCTCCAATTTGCATGGGAACTTAGTGCTCAAATTCGCAACTCACAAATCCTTCTCTCCAATGCTGCTTTACGAAGAACTCCTTTGACAAGAAGTGAATCAGAAACTGCAATTCGTGATATGGCACTTTTGCTCTTCCAAGCCCAACAACAACTCCACTATGACAGCACAACCATGATCATGAGACTGAAAGCAAAGATCCAGGGTCTTGAAGAACAAATGAATTCTGTTAATGAGAAGAGTTCAAAGTATGGACAAATAGCTGCTGAAGAAGTTCCAAAGAGTTTGTATTGCTTTGGTGTTCGGTTAACAACTGAATGGTTCAAGAACTCAAATTTACAGAGGAAACTCAAGGAGAGAAAGCAAACCGCGATAAAACTAAAAGATAATAACCTCTATCATTTCTGCATCTTCTCTGACAACGTCCTTGCAACTTCCGTTGTGGTAAATTCAACAGCTTGGAATTCCAAAAATCCCGAAACTGTGGTGTTCCACCTCGTAACTGATGAGGTGAATTATGCTGCAATGAATGCTTGGTTCACTACAAACAGTTTCCAGGGAGTCACTGTGGATGTTCAAAAGATAGAAGACTTTAGCTGGTTGAATGCTTCTTATGTTCCTGTTCTTAAGCAACTTCAAGACTCGGACACCCAAAACTACTATTTTTCTGGTAGTGGTGGTGATAACCATACTCCAATCAAGTTCAGGAATCCTAAGTATTTATCTATGCTTAACCACCTCAGATTCTATATTCCCGAAGTTTTTCCTGCACTGAAGAAAATAGTTTTTCTTGATGATGACGTTGTAGTTCAGAAGGACCTGTCATCCCTGTTCTCCATAGATCTGAATGGAAATGTCAATGGCGCTGTGGAAACATGCATGGAGACATTCCATAGATACCACAAGTACTTGAACTACTCTCACCCTCTAATTCGTGAACATTTCGATCCTGATGCATGTGGGTGGGCATTCGGGATGAATGTTTTTGACTTAGTCCATTGGAGGAAAAGGAATGTCACTGGCATCTACCACTATTGGCAGGAAAAGAATGTGGACAGGACCTTATGGAAACTTGGCACCCTGCCTCCGGGATTGTTAACTTTCTATGGATTGACAGAGCCTTTAAATCCCTCGTGGCATGTGCTAGGTCTTGGATACACAAATGTCGATCCTCAGTTGATCGAGAAGGGAGCTGTGCTGCATTTTAATGGGAACTCGAAACCGTGGTTAAAGATTGGGATGGAAAAGTATAAACCCCTTTGGGATAAATATGTGGATTATAGTCGTCCTCTATTACAGCAGTGCAATGTTCACTAATTTATTTGGACCAAATTCTGTATGCAGGGATTTCTTCATTGATATTTTCCTTTTTTTCGGTAATATCATTGATATGGTTGGGTTGTAGTTTTATCTTTATTTTTACGTAACTGGTAGATATTAATTTTTAGAAAATTATAAAATTTTGAGATTTGAATCATAATTTCTTGTTTCGGATACAATTTGTCACGAATTTTAAATGAAAAATCATATTTGGAAGTCTCAAAATTGATAAATATTGCATAGGAGAATACACAGTTCTCATTGGTCAACGAAAGCATCAAATAGAATTATTTTATGGAAATCAAACAAAAATTTTCAGTTTATAATTTTGCTCAATAGAATAAATGAAATTATGGTAGTGTAGATGTTCTTAATTCATTTTTATTTTCTTAAGTCTTAATTTGGCAAAATTTTAAAAAGAAAAATCAAATTGTCACAAACTTTTCAATCAATTATACATATATTACATATATATATACTATCATGTAAGGCACAGCCATGGAAATAATTAAAAGAAAAAGTCATATAGTTGGACTTATATTCAACTTTTGCTTCTCTACAAATGATAGAAGACTAAAAATGGACACTAAAAGACGATTATTAGATAGTTTTGATCAAATATTTTCCAACTTCAGTACATAAATTATAAATCGTAAGACGTTCTAGTATATACAAATTTAATATTTAACTCAAGGCCAGCCAACATTATGCATGAATGTGTGCTTAATATTTGTGACATTGATGGTGGGTTTCTTGACCGTCAATCTATATTGTGTGCCAGCCAGCCATTGTATTCTCCTCTCTTATCGCTCCTCCTTAGGTTGTTTTAATTGCCATTGATTACCTATTATAATAATAGTCTTGAAATCTTATTTACAGAACTTGAATCGGGTAAATGAAGATTTTACTTCTGTCACCTTTTCTTCTTCCCCCGATACCTTCATAGCCTTCGAATGCCAAGAGTGTAGGAGTGCAGGGAGAGAAGAAGGAAAGTTTGAGACAAAGGTAAATCCCCACACCATCCATTTCAGATCAAGAAAAAGGTAAATTTGTACCAAAATGAACGATCTTTTCTCAAGTTCGTTTAAAAAATACCAAGACTTGAAGCATCAGGTTCAAATGGAAGACCTTGAAGCTGGTGGAAATGAGTCTGTCAATCTCGATAGATTTTTCGAAGATGTAGAGAATGTCAAAAAGGATATGAGTGATGTAGAGAAACTCTACAAGAGGCTACAAGAATCAAATGAAGAAAGCAAAATTGTGCATAATGCTAAAACCATGAAAGAATTGCGATTCAAGATGGATTCTGATGTAGCCCAGGTTCTTAAACGGGTTAAGGTTATCAAAGGAAAGCTTGAAGCACTTGAACGTTCCAATGCAACTCAAAGGAAGATCCCGGGTTGCGGTCCGGGTTCGTCTGCTGATCGAACAAGGACTTCTGTAGTTAGCGGGTTAGGGAAAAAACTGAAAGACCTGATGGATGATTTTCAGGGTTTGAGGGCAAGGATGAATGCAGAATATAAAGAGACTGTTGGCAGAAGATATTTCACAATTACGGGAGAAAAGGCGAATGAAGATTTGATTGAGAATTTGATATCCAGTGGCGAAAGTGAAACATTCCTTCAAAAGGCTATTCAAGAACAAGGGCGTGGACAGATTCTCGATACAATTTCAGAAATCCAAGAAAGACATGATGCTGTGAAGGAGATTGAGAAGAATTTGATTGAGCTTCATCAGATTTTCTTAGACATGGCTGCACTTGTCGAAGCACAAGGGCAACAATTGAATGACATTGAAAGCCATGTGGCGCACGCGAGCTCTTTTGTTAGGCGAGGCACCGAGAATTTGCAGGAAGCCAGAGAGTACCAGAAAAGCTCCAGAAAATGCACTTTTATTGCTATTCTTCTCATCATAGCCGCCATTCTCGTTCTCCTTTTCCCAGTTTGGTCACAATTTTTGCTTCATTTGTAGAAAAATTTAAGTTTCAAGAGACAAAGAACAACTGACTGGCATTCGAGAAATCAAGACAGGTTCTGTGCATTAATTTTCAGGATCTTTAGCATGTATTGTTGCCTCTTGTAAGAGTTTCCAATCTTTCATCACTTCTTTTTGACATCACTAATTAGTTGAAATTGTAGACATTTATATTTTGTTTTAGACCGTAGTAACAGAATGTCAGTGACTCCTTTGAACTATGTATATACTGTTCTTTATCACCTGATGTTATTTTTTCTGCCCGTAGCTTCCAAACGTATTATTTTCTCTTTTGTAATTGATGTCGTCTTAAAGCCTTGGTCGTGCAGTCGGTCTTGCCTCATTTTTTTCCTTTCCTTCAGGCTAGCTAGTTGTTGAGGGCAAGGGCGATTGTGTCCCTGATAATCTTCTGATTCCTAAGGTAGTAAGAGATTTACTGATAAATATAGACATTGATCGGAGTGGAGTTTTTTTTACCTTTATAGGGTATGGTTTGCGCTCTCTTCATAGAAAATGGAATGCAAGTTTTCAGGGTATGGAAAATTCATGGAGTGATCTCAAGCAATTTTAGTTGATCTTAGGTGAGATTGAAGGTAGGAGAAGATTTTGGGACGTGATTGGTACGTATGACCAGTTAGTTTTGGATATACGTTCTTGGTGGAGTTATGAGGATCATCGAACTTGAGTGGTCCCAATGGGATGCTCAAGTCAATAGGATGCAATGACTTTTAGATCCCAAGCTTTGTGACTTGAGAGATTTGCATTAGTCAATACAACACTTCGAAGACAATTAAGCATGCTCGGAGCCGGTGGACGTTGTGATAGAGGTTTTCCATTTGGATCATCACTTGAAAGTTGGATGTGACGCTTTCCGTGTCTTTCAACAAAGGTAGTTGAATGGTAAGCGTTGTAGTTGCTTGACCTAAAGCGACTCAAACTATATTAGCCTTGCTTGGATGATAGCGTACTTAAAATCAAAGTCATCTATCAACACGAGCCATTTCCATTGACTCGTGTTAGAGTTCCTTCTAAGTGAACAAGTACTTAAGGCTCTACACCCTTCTTAGTGGTAACGTCCCCATATCTTTAGAGAATGGACTATTGCTGCAAGCCCCAAATCATGTGTAGGGTAATTCTCTTAGTAGTGTTTCAATTGTCTTGATGCATAGTTAACAAATCCTTCTATGAAACATTTGCAATATCATGGAAATCTAAGAAACTGCGGATTTCTCCGACATTGTTGGAAAAGACCACTTGGTTACTACTCCCCTTTTGTTAGATTAACATCTAGTTACTGGTGTTTTAGTTTTATGTGCTTAGTCAATCAGATACATACCAATTTGCAATTACTTATTTTTCCATAATTCCTGACTTATGGACGGCGTTTATATCTGGCCTCCATAGCCATGTCCCTGTCAATGCATCAAAGATAGAAATAATGATTGTAGAGAGCATGGTGTTATGCTAATTGGAAGGATCTTCAATATCTAATAAGTAAAAGAAATGAAACAACACAAGTATGAGAATTAAATTAGACATTTGGCATTCTGAAAGACAACTAAAACTCTGGCTCGTATTTTTGTTCTTCGCTCTCTTCTTCCAAACTGGATGTCGATTCGGTAGAAGTACTCATTTCAGATCTAGTTTCTTCGACGTCTTCCATCTTTACATCATTTTTTTCTGCAACTTCTTTCTGTCCAGATTTTTTGTCCACTTCATAATCATCCCTCCCGTCGTGTTGTTGGATAGTGGTGTCTTGTTCTCTGGATTGTACATTTTGTTCTGTTTTTTCAAGTTCATGCTGGTTAAACAATCTGCTATCCTCGCTTCTTGTAAGATTCACTACTTTCTGGCTCATATCTTCACTATCTATAGGTTTTACATGATCTGGTAACATGGTGTTGCCATGCTCCAAAGTAGACTCACTTTCCATTCGAAAGCTCGTGTTTATATCTTGATTTTCATCTGGTTTCCTTTGCATTGCTCCATCACTGTCAGAATCCTCGCTCTCTATATGATGTTTGATAATCGTTCTCCATCTCTTTCCTTTAGTCCTCTTCAGGTGACCATGTTTCTCTCTCAATGTATACCTTCCATTATTAGAGTTTCTCTTCATTTCTAACTTCATCCCACCCTTGTGATTCACTGAAGATTCTTCATTCTCACCACCTTGAAAATCTGGAATTCTTCTTGACAGACCAAAGTCTGCTAATGTTCCAAGTTCTTTACCATCAGTAGATTGGAGTTCACTATTTTCATTTCTAGGCTTTTGCTCTTCACTAGTCGTCTCAGTGTCATTTTCACCTTTCCTTTTCTCGCCCATTTGTAAACTATTTTCCTCATTTTGATTGTTAGCAGCATCTTTTGGGTCATTTCTCTTGCCAACATCAATTTTTCCATATCCAAAACCGCTTTCTTGAGAACCTTTTATCTTTTCAGATTTATCTTCTTCAGTCCTTTCCCTTGTGACGTCCACTAACATCCCATTTTCCGTTCTTTTCTCGTCTTGATCTCTATGATTCGAGGCATCATTTGTTGAATTTTGTCTTTCTGCATGGTTGATAGATTCATGCATGTTTCCATTCTCATCTTGAATATCATTGACCTTGATTTCACCACTTGTTGACAAATTTGTCCCAGCTGTTAAATTTACCGATGAATTTGATGGATCATCGGTACTAACTGACCATACCTTGACATGGGACTCGAGACGGCGCTTCAAATCCTCAATTTCAGCTTCTTTTTGTCGTAAGATTTCAGAAAGAGCTATAACTTGAGGATTTTGATCACTCACTTCACCATATTTCTGTTTGAATATCTTGGCCTCATTCTGCATCTCCTGAAAGGCTAATTCAAGAGCCTTTTGTTCATCTTTAAGTGAAGAAATTGTTGATTGCATCTCTGAAAGCCTGCCATTAAGTTTTGTTTTCTGAGTTCGAAGGTTGTATATCTTCGCTTTCATCTCTTCCATTTTCGTTTTTGCTCCTTGCGCTTGTTCTCTTTCCTTCTGTTATCCAACACTCATATCGAGTCAATTAGTATATCAGACAAGCATCCTAAAATGAAGAAAAAAGTAACAATCCTATTTTGAAAAGTAAAATTACTGCATAAACAAGATTTTACTGGCAATATTTCTAGGCACTAAAAAATATATATAAACATACATACATGTAGAGAGAGAGAGAACCTGTAATAGAAGCTGAAGGGAAAAGATTTTCTGGTCCTTCTGTTCTGCAAGGAGATTGAAAATGCGTCGCTCTCTGAGCTTGTGAAGCAGCATAACTCCAAAAATGGCAGCTCCAAATGCCAGCAACAGCATCAACATATATGACCTAGTTCTGCTGTTATAGCCACTATGCCCCTTCATCCCTCCCCCCATCTCTCTCTCTCTCTCTCTGAGATACACACACAAACACACAGTATTTATGAAGCTTGTTCCACAGATTTCACGTTGCTTTTCATCTCAAACAGGCCTTCTACCTGCCTCTCTCTCGGCGCATAAATGCGTGTAAAAGACAGTGGGTAGCGGAGTTAACAAGGATGAAAAATATGCATGGGAACTGCGAAGGACTCGTTGATTCTGGTGACTTTTTCCCATTTATATTCAATTTTTAATGCAACCTGCTGGATCAAATTACTATTTTATCTTTCTTTTCTCTTCAAATTGTGTAGCTGTTGAGGACAAATTTGTAAAAAAGTACGCAAAAGTCAATGACGTCCAAAGCCCTCTGCCCACCGGAGTAAGGATGAATAGGAGCTCAACCTTTTCATCGAGCAGTGACCACTGTCATTTTCGAGGATGAAAAAAATATTCTTGTGTTAAAAAAAAAAAAAAAGAAAAAGAAAAATAAACAGAAGTAAGAATGTCATTTTAATTTCTTTAGTCAAACATACGAGATTCGTGTTTCTTCAACTACCAAGGATTAGAGTGCTACAAAATTTCGCCTCTCCATTATTTAAAACTCATTTAAATTACATATTTTTATAATAAGATAATTTTATACCTAAATTCAATTTTTTTTTCAATATTTTTTAATCATACATTCTTCAAAAAATAACTGATATTTAAACTTGAATTTGGAAGTCGAAGATCTTCACTAGAAGGGTGAATCCAAGAATTATAGTGTGACTCGCCACAATTATTTCCCTTTCATATCATATTTCTTAAAAGAAATGGGGACTTTTTTAGTACTCATTATTGGAATCAATTGAGATTAACTTCTAGCTCAATCAAGCAGTAAGAGCAAAGTTATTTTATTTTATTTTTCATTTTTTTTTCATTTGGGAGGGGAGGGTTAAATTCGAAAAGGGAAAAAAAATGGAATCAATTGAATTAATTTATAGAAATTTAAGTTTCATCAATAGTGTTTAAGATTGTACAATAAAACCTATCCAACAAACACCAAGTAAATATGAATGAGCTAATTGAACCTTTTTTTTTATGAAAATAAATAGGAACTTTCAGCAGTGTTGAACATACAATAAAAATAATTTATAATTTTAAGAATTAATTTTAAGATTTATTATGGACCTAATAACTATCATTAGTCAAGATTTGTAGTAAATTTTATTTATCTTTCGTTGCTTTGAGTTGTAAGGCTTACTTCCTAACCCTATTGAGAGTAATGACTAGTGTTATAAGTCGTTTGACATTCGAGAGATTATCACGAATAAATCATCGTTTGGCAGTTCTATGAGCACTGGATAAGTACCTTACCAAATTAGTTGCACTACGGATGAAAATGCATGCAATGAAAGATGACATAAGATGAACCTTGGTTTGGAGAATTAAAGTTGGCCTACGTCAAAATTTGTCCCACGAAATATGTCAAACTTTTCTGGGTAGCTTCTAGTTATCGGAAGGCTTAAGCAAAATTTCTGACATTTCTCATCAATTGGCCATGTGAATGCTGGAGGATGAAGTAAAGTTAAGAAAAGGCTAAATTATAATTGAAGTCACATATAAGCGTAAAGCTTACTTAACTCGCAACTCCCAAGGCATTAAGTGCATAATATACTGAATTATAACTACAGATAACGCCACCCAGAAAATTTGTCTGCATTTTGGTTCATTCTTTGTTTTAACAAGAAGAAAAATATCACTGCTGTTAACAATCACCCTGATTCGAAGAATTCAAACAATATTTCATGAAAAAATGGTTGACTGAACAAGTGAGAACAGTAGAGAAGAAATGCGTAATGGCTATTCACATACTTGCATTTCTGGAAATTAAGCAAGTGAAATAAAATCTTCATTTATAGATTACAAAGTACAATTTTTAACTCTACATCATTTCCCTATTCTTGGAAATAATAGTCATTATGGCAAGTAACAAGTCTTATGTTGGATAAATACTATATGAAGCAACCACAAAATCTTTACACTGGTATAGGCAAAGCATAAAATAGGGGATAACTTACCGGGCGAAGAGGGGAGTTATGCTGCAATTTAACAAATAAAAGAATTAACAGCATGTTATCTTGAAAGTTTAGAAGGAAAGTCTGATATAATTACCTGGTCTTGTTCAAAGCTCTTCCATGTTGAACTAAAAAAATACTCTCGTCTGAGTGATGGAGTCTGCTACTGCTGTCAATATTTGATGAAATATCATATAAATTTGAAAGAAACAATGGAAACTAAAAATAAACAAGTAGATAACTGAAGACACGGCATATTAATATATGTACTGATAATTTATGATGTTTATACAGTAGTTTCACTGTTCTTTTTATACTTACAGAAAGTTATGTTTAAACACATTATCTCGGACCATATGAAGAAGTTATTGACCCCTCGCTGTGTACGGAACATATATCTTCTTCTTCTTCTTCTTCCATACTAGAGTTCTCTTGCTCTTTGAAGACTGGATACAATAGGTTGAGCGCATCTTTGTGGTTCCTTTCTAGTGCCTGCCACCACCTTTTGGTTCCTTTTATCTGTTTGAGAGAACGGAGTAACTGCTGCCTGATTTCCACAAAAAAGGGAATCCTCTTCAGTTCTGTGCATCTGTAAACTTCAATGCTGGATAAGGAATCACAAGTCATTTTCCCATTGAATATGTGTTTTAGTTCTGGCAAAGAACTTAATTTCAATTTTTGTAATCTTGGGAGGATAATATCCCCATCATTTACTTCTGTCACCCCTTGATTTTCTTCTCCTTCTGCAATTATCTCCATTATTTTGTCACAATTCTGAATTGTGATTTCTTCAAGGTTTCTTAAGTGCTGAACCAGCTCAAGTGGAAGGAGTATCTTTAGATCATTACATGCTGTGACTCGAAATATTTTAAGGCTTGCAAGAGTGCCTGCTGGTGTAATTCCTTTGCAGATTCGACTTAAATTGCTCAAACCCTCAATTTCCAACCACTCCAAGTTGGAAAAGGCGCTCCATTCTGCAGTTATAATCCATTCCATCTCATCACAATATCGTATCTTACAGTGTTGTAGTTGAGAAGCTGCAGCTGTTATAAAAACTGGTAGGTGAGTAATACCTGGACATTCATGGATTTCCAATTCGAGAATCCTTCCAGGCAACCAAGCAGGACTTAATCTTTCGTAGATATGAACCCCAAAGAATCCAATGCTATTTTTCCCTGTGTTAGTAGAGGAAGGGGGATAACCTATGAAAAATCTGAAAGTATCAAGCATATACCAGTGACCTGATGCTATGTACTTATCAAATTCTTGCATAGTGTCGAAATTTGCTTCAAGTACTGCCAAACTGCTGCAGGTTGCCAGAACATCAACAAAAGTTGGTTGCAGACTAAATTGCCATAGGCCAATTATGAAGAGGCTCTCCAGGAACTTGTATTTGGGCAAAACAAGAATTGGAATTTCATAAGCTTTAGTATAGGACAGGTTTAGATGTTGAAGTTTAACAAACATATTCATCCCCTCTGGCATGTGCTCAATTGATGTGTAAGAGAGGTCCAAAACCCTCAACTCCTTGAGCTTTGCTAGAGTTGGCACATAGCATAAGTTCCAACAGCTGCACAACAGTAAAGCATGCAGGTTCTCCAGATTTGATAGTGATTCAGGCAAATGGTAAATTCCAGTGTATGATAAGTTCAGAACTTTGAGGTTTTGCATGTGATGAAAGAAAGTAGGATGTATTCCTTTGTTAATGGAATTGTACTGCAATAGCAATGTGCAAAGCTTAGGACATTTTGGTTCACGACTTAAAGAGCTCAAATCATTTCGCATTAATGACACTCTCTCAAGATCCGGAGGCCATTCATTCTCCACTGGAGGCACTTGTAAACCAAGTCCAGCTTTGATCATAAAACTTGAGTTCACTCTAGTAAGTGCAATCACCATATCCCTAATTACATCGTGCATCTTCACATATTCATCATTATGTCCATCTTGATAGACACCCTCTACCATACAAGAACTTTTTAGCTCATTAAGAATCATCTTACCCAGTCGCATCAAAACTATTTGACTCCCAATACTACCCAATAGACCGTCCCATAACCAGTATTTTATCAGCTCTTCTGTTTCAATAATATGATCCTCTGGGTATAATGCGCAGTACAGAAAACATGATCGAGTCATATCATCCTTTAGTCTGTCATAGCTAAATCTCAAACGTGCAAAAACTTGATTCTCCACCCCTTCAATGTTAGCAGTAGAGTTCCTCAACTCACTTAAAGCCGCTTGCCATTGTCTAATGTTGTTTTCTTTTCTCAAAGCCCGTCCAACTGTAATGAGTGCTAGCGGTAGACCAGAACATTCTTTCGCAACGCCTTTAGCAAGATCTCGTATTTTTGGGGACGATAGAACCTCTTCGCCAACCTTTTGTTTAAACAAGTCCCATGCTTCTTCCACGGAAAGCACGTGAACTTCAATCTCTTTTACTGTTTCCATGCACCGGCATACATTTGATGACCTAGTAGTTATTAACAATTTGCAACCATTTTCATTTGTTGGGTTAGGAATTCCAATGTTCTCTAGAGAATATGCTTCCCACAAATCATCAATTATTAGCAGACACCTACCTCTTCTTAGCAAAGCTTCAAATAGTTCACTAGCCCTTGTAATTTCACTATCTTCATCATGAAAAGATAAGCCTATCTCTTTCGCAATATGCTTCTGCAGTTTCTCTAGATTTAAATCCTTTGATGCTGTTACCCAAATAACATTATCGAAGATTGCCTTTTTGCTTAACAGTTGATTATTAATTTCTTTAACGATGGATGTTTTCCCCACTCCTCCCATCCCATAAATACCAATAATTCCAATATTTTCATCCATCAGGTACTCCCAAGTACTCAGTAAAATTCTTTTGGCAGTCTCCCCTACTAATGTAGTTCCCGGAAATGTTTTTCCTCTTTCTGGCACCATATTAACCAATGAACTGTCTGAAAATCTGCTATTATCAAGGAGCTTCTGAACCTGAAGCATCTTTTTAGGAACAGAGTTCCCCAACTTCAATCTACGGTAATAGTTTGGAAAACATCCACATAAACAGCTTTTATTATCTTGAATTTCCTTTTCCAAACTAGCCATGATATTTTTCATCTTCTGCACATTTTCAAGCCACAACTTTACTTCTGCAGTCGGATACATCCCACGGCACACCTTTTCCACGTGTAAATTTTGTTTCACATCATCTTCTCGAGCAGTAAGTAACTTCATTTTCTCTTCCAATATCAGTAATACTGTTTGAGGTTTTCTCATATAGCTGCATTGTTCAGAGATTGAGTGATTTGAACAGCAATGTCCACAGAAAAGTTGCACTATGCTTGCAATAGCACCAGCAATTTCCATAGCCTTATCTGCCAAGAACCACAGAGTAGAAGCCAAATTATGAGAACGTACTGAAAAAGTAATCAGTTCCCATTTTATTTATACATTGGACACATACATTAAGGATCCACAGTGGAGATTGAGATGGAATTGGCATTAGGGACATGCCAAAATTTAATACTGATCATTAAAAAATAGTTTTTCTGTGAATTCAACTGGTACTAGTGTTTAATCATTATTCATTCAACTCAGCTTGTTGACTTAATAGATAATTATTATATCATATTATTGTTTCAAATAAGAAAAAATGCACAATCCATAGACTTCTTACCCATGCGAAATCCTTATAACAAAGAATGCCTTGTAACTAGTCATGGACATAAATTTATTTTAACTTTGTGGTAATCTATAAAATGCCTCAATTCCCTTGTTGTCTTTCAATGGCTGGTTCTCGATAAATTAGAAAATTTAAAAGCTTATTTGATGTTGGCTCGAATCACAACGAAATCATGTTCACATATCGTATTTTTCCTCTCTTATTTTTTTAACACAAATCTCTTGTCGTCCTTCTTGGGTCAAACTCAGATTTAACCCTAACGCTGGTATCAAAGCAGTTTTGAGTGTTTCTTGATTTGGATGTAGCAATGCACGGCAACTAAGTGATAAATGAAAGAAGAACTCATCTTGTTTCTCTTGATTACCTTCTGTATTTTCTTCATCTATCTAACCTTTTAACCGATATGTATTTGTCTTCAAATTTAACACATTTATTGTAGGATCTTGTCACCTTACACCAAAGGGATACTACCCAATGACCATTTTTTCAGATAGAAAATACTTCTTGCATCCTCATAAATCAGGATGAGATTACTCTAGCATTTCTGATACTTTAACATCTTCTTGGAGCCGATTATCTGACCTTGAGAGTGAATGTTTTGACTCGAGTTTGGCCGTCCCATAAGCCACAACTTGCTTTTCTTGAAATTCTCTTCGTTTCAATTGTACAACTTTGTGAGTATATGGATAGTCTTCTTTATAGAAGGGATCGATGGAATGTGGTGGCTTATTTTTTGGGAAATGAAGTCATAAAAATGAGGTGAACCCGACACGAGGATAATCAAATCTATGGAAGTACAATGGAGACTGTGAGGTTTAATAGGGATATATAAATTACAGATTCCATAAAGTATACGGAATTCTTAAGCTTATTTTAATCAAATCAATAAAAAGTGATCTTAACAATTCTTCACTTTTCCCCTGGAAAACTATTATCTAAAGATTACTTCACATTTTCCTGAACAAAACAGTACAATCTACATAACAGAATCAATCATTATTGAACAAACAACTCCATGTAACGGCAAACTGAACTCAATAATCTACGCCCTGAGTCTTTGTCATTTGAGATAGTTGTCAGCTGAAAATTGAATGAAAATCATATGTATAGAGTCAAAATGCTTACCTGTTTTGCTCGCTCACCAAATGGATAGTGAAAATGGAGAGTGAGAGAATTCGGCAGTGGAATCTGTTGGAGATAATGTGAAAGAAATTAAATTTGTCCTACCGTAGTCTTACTTCACGCGTTTCATCCATTGATTGGTATTCAGGTCAACCGGAAATGGGGAGGAGAGAGAGAGAGAGATGTGAGGGATTTCAGATTTGGCCTTTATCCAATATTTATTTCGATTTTGCTAGTGGTACATCACCATGTACACAGAAGTGTACACCCCCCTCATGGGGTGGAACCCTCTTAAATAAAAAAATATTTTATACAAGTGAGTCTCATCTCATGTGAGAGAGGTGTACACCCTTATGTACATTTTTGATGTATAAGTAGAATTATTCTATTTATTTATGAGTCATGCTTAGTATACATAATTTTTCATCAAAGTGATGTCTATACACACACAAGTGGTGGGATCCATTCAAATAAAATATTCAAGTGAGTCCCACCATGTGTGTAAGGATGTCATTATGATGAAAAAATTATGTACAAAAATGATATCCCAAACCAACTTGATTATAAAATTTCATTATACATAAACTAAGAAAATGCAATCTAGAGAGAGACATTACATGAGGGATATAATTATTAACTGTTCATGTGAGCTTATGTAATGAATCGTAATTTAAGAGTGGCAAATTATGGAATGTGGAGAATAACCAAACAGAATAGTTCCAAAAACTCAAAACTAAGAAGGCATCCCGTCTAGGCAATAGTAGCTATTTAGTCTAGGGCGTATTCGGTAGAGATTAAAATTAAAAAATTAATCATTATTGTTAACTTTTATTAGACGAATGGGACGCAATAACAGTTATATTTTCAATTTTAATTGAATTTTAATATTTACTAAACAAACACTTAATAGAACTTAATAGAACGAGAGTAGCAAAAGAAAGGTGCATTGCTGAGCCCATGGTAAGGCGCAAAGTTGCCCATGCATGCATATGGGAGTGAATTGCCTATTTAATGCAAGGGGTCACTGAACTTTACAATTCATCATCATAGAAGTCACTGAGCAAACGACTGTTGATAAATGAATAATTGCATATTTAGTCACTGAACTTTCAGCCATACACGCAATTGGTCACTGAACTTTACAATTCATCATCCCAGAAGTCACTGAGCAAACGACCGTTGATAAATTGGACGGAATTTCCACATGGCAGTTGACGTAGCGAGACAACTCAATGAATTTTGAAAGTTCAGTGACCCATAGCGTGCATGTCTGAAAGTTCAGTAACTAAATAGGCAATTCACTCTTGCTTGGCCCCCATTGTTCCCCATTAAATCATAGTTCATTTTTCTTTTTCTTTTTTTTATTGAACACACATTCTCCAATAAAATAAAATTACACGTATATTAAAAAAATCCTTCTTTTTTAACTCTAAATTTTCCAAAAAAAATAATATTCCTCTCATTATAATGTGGAATAATAGGATCAAACAGGCGCTTAATGATCAACTTAAAACTTACATTTTTTAAATGTGTTCTAACAAAGAGTTTGAAAGGTTGAATGTCCTTAGTGATTTTGTAGAGAAGTTAGTTGTGACCAAGAAAAATAAAGTATATATAATTATTTATTATATATATTATTTGCTTTTCATTATGCACATAAGGGAGGAGCCGTATGAGAGGAAAATCTCAAGTACGGTTATGTAACGGAAAAGCTTTGGAATATTCTTTTCGGCCATGTACACAGAAGTGTACACCCCCCCCATGAGGGTGGAACCCTCTTGAATAAAAAAAATATTTTATACAAGTGGGTCCCATCTCATGTGAGAGAGGTGTACACCCTTATGTACATTTTTGATGTATAAGTAGAATTATTCTATTTATTTATGAGTCATGCTTAGTATACATAATTTTTTCATCAAAATGGTGTTCATACACATACAAGTGGTGGGATCCATTCAAATAAAATATTCAAGTGAGTCCCACCATGTGTGTATGGATGCCATTATGATGAAAAAATTATGTACAAAAAGACAAATCCTTTATGATATCCCAAACCAACTTGATTATAAAATTTCATTATACATAAACTAAGAAAATGCAATATAGAGAGAGACATTACATGAGGGATATAATTATTAACTGTTCATGTGAGCTTATGTAATGAATCGTAATTTAAGAGTGGCAAATTATGGAATGTGGAGAAGAACCAAACAGAACCAAACAGAATAGTTCCAAAAACTCAAAACTAAGAAGGCATCCCGTCTGGGCAATAGTAGCTATTTAGCCTAGGGCGTGTTCGGTAGAGATTCAAATTAAAAAATTAATCATTATTGTTAACTTTTATTAGACGAATGGGACGCACTAACAATTATATTTTCAATTTTAATTGAATTTTAATATTTACTAAACAAACACTTAATAGAACGAGAGTAGCAAAAGAAAGGTGCATTGCTGAGCCCATGGTAAGGCGCAAAGTTGCCCATGCATGCATATGGGAGTGAATTGCCTATTTAATGCAAGGGGTCATTGAACTTTACAATTCATCATCATAGAAGTCACTGAGCAAACGACTGTTGATAAATGAGTAATTGCCTATTTAGTCACTGAACTTTCAGCTATACACGCAATGGGTCACTGAACTTTACAATTCATCATCCCAGAAGTCACTGAGCAAACGACCGTTGATAAATTGGACGGAATTTCCATATGGCAGTTGACCTAGCGAGACAACTCAATGAATTTTGAAAGTTCAGTGACCCATAGCGTGCATGTCTGAAAATTCAGTAACTAAATAGGCAATTCACTCTTGCTTGGCCCCCATTGTTCCCCATTAAATCATAGTTCTTTTTTTTTTTTATTGAACACACATTCTCCAATAAAATAAAATTACACGTATATTAAAAAAATCCTTCTTTTTTAACTCTAAATTTTCCAAAAAAAATAATATTTCTCTCATTATAATGTGGAATAATGGGATCAAACAGGCGCTTAATGATCAATTTAAAACTTACATTTTTTAAATGTGTTCTAACAAAGAGTTTGAAAGGTTGAACGTCCTTAGTGATTTTGTAGAGAAGTTAGTTATGACCAAGAAAAATAAAGTATATATATATATTGGTTTACAATCTTTTGACTTTAGAGTTAATTTTATCGGTTGCTATCACTATTATGGAGAGGGTATTTTTTGCAATGAGCATTGTAAAGAATATATTGATTAATCGGATGGGTGATCGGTGGATGAATGATAACATAATTATTTATGTAGAGAAATATATATTTTTGTAGATTGATAATGAAGTTATTGTACAACGATATCAAAGTATGAAACTCGCAAAGAACACGTTTAATTTATAAACTATGTTATTTTTAGTTTTGTCTTAATATTATTTTATGCTTTTATCATCATTAAATTCATGATCAAAAGCTCAGAGTTTGACGTTAATTAAATATGGCCCGCATTGAATGAATTTCTGAGCTCCAACCTTAAACTGGATTATCAGTTGTGAATTCAACAGTAGCATCAAGTACTTATCAGTTTATAATGATTTTTCAAAAGGATCTCAAAATTAAGGGTATTTATATACATGGGTGGACCTAGGGGGTCCTAGGGGGTAACCCCCCCCCCCCCCCCAAAAAAAAACTAATTTTGAGATTTTTTTTTTTTTATATAATCGTGTTTGGTATCGATTGAAATCTAAATTTTAATCTAAATCAAAGTTAACAATTAATTTTAATAACATATTTCATGGAATCCATAACTGTTTTTAACTTTTATTAAAATTTATTAAAAATATGATTTTAACCTTCACCAAATTGGGACAAAATCACAATAAATTTGAATTTCGATAACATACTAATTTTAAAAATTCTCCGATGTTCGTACGCTAATCGAATCTACAAATTGTTTATGTCATCTCAAAACTTATTTCGAGAACTATATTATGGACATATCGAATAGTCCAAACAGATATCGAAATAGTTAAAAATAC